TGATTGTGTTCTTCAGGGTATATTCCCAGTAGGGGATGCAGGGTCATATGGAAGGTCAATTTTTAGAGCTTTTGGGAATCGCCACACTGCTTTCCACAGAGGTTGCACTAGTTTACACTCCCACCAACAGTGTAGAAGTGTTCCCTTTTCACCACACCCTCTCCAGCAGCTGTTATTTTTTGAGTTTCAACATGTTTTTATAGTCTCTCTTATGTTGTTTGTTCTGTGCCAGAATGGAAGTTTTTCTTCGTGTCGGTGTGTATACATGGGTGTGTTATAGCATTATTTTTACACCACACAGATGATTAAAAAGAAAGTGTTCTCATACTACTAAAGCACAAATTAATTATGCATGCTTTCATAAGACAAGTGTTGGGGGCCTTATAATTTATAGGTTAAATAATTTCTGTGGTTGTATTTTTGCCATAGGCATATGTAGAAAGTGGAACTGAGGGAATAAGGGATAGGATTATAGGGAGAGAAAAGAGAGAAGTTGGAGATTCAGCTAGAGGAACAAAGGGAAGATGTTGAAGTTACTTAAAATTTAGAAGCTAAGTCCCATAGAGCTGAAATTCAGACCTGTGAAGGAGGAGGTCTGCTGCTCAACTTGATTTCAGGTTGATTGTACAGTTTTCTCCTTGAGAGCATGTTAAAAGGACTAAAGATGCCTTTTTAAAATCTACTCAGAAAAAAGTTTGGTATGACACAATCTGCAACATGTGTTCATACTGGTAATATAAGTGAACAAACACATGTATGATGGGTATTTAACTCATAAATTATATTTTCAGCCCCAAATGTGTAACTTTGTGAAAGGCCTTTTACTCAGTAATGGTGTTGTTTATATTTATATTGAAAAAAATAATTTTAATTACCAATTAATTCCAAATTCAGCTCCTTACATTATATACATCAGCACCAAAATTTAAATGACTGTGTAATCACATATGTTATAGTACATGTGTGACCTCAGCCAAATTTGAGTAATGTTTATCATTCTTGAGCTTAGCTAGGTTTGTGCTGTGTTTTTAAAGTCATTAAATCAAAATGAAAGTGGGGGTAAAGATACAGAACTGTTTAATAGTTTGCTTTTGATTACTGACTTTTTATTATTTTGCCTTATTTTTGCTGCCCACAGTTGTTGGTTTTTACTGTAAGTATCTCAAAGACTATGGTATTCTGTTGCTCATGTTTGTATGTATTATTTTGTTATCTTAAAAAGTCAAATGATACAGAATTGAATGCAGTAGTAAGCAGAACTTTTCACTTACTAGATAGCCAGTATTAACTGGCATATGTCCTTTTAGTTCTTTCAGTCATTTTTCATTCATAAAGACTACCCACTCTAAAAATGTCTCAGGGTTGAAAGTCCAGATATCTGAGGATTCTATTCTTTAATTCACTTGCCTTATTCTAACCTCATGTTTACCATTTATCTAACCAATTAAAATTTGAGTGTCTGCCACATGCCAAATATTATGTGTGACATGTATGTTGTTTTCCCACTAACAGCTAACATGTTTGTAAAGAATATGTATATAGTATATATGTAACAATTTGAAAACAGAAAAAGAGGTGTACCAATGCAGATAAATTGTTTCCTCTAATGTCTCTTGATCTGTTTTCCAAGTTAGCAGTCATCACCTTGGCAGATTCATCACAGTTTTGGTTAGAGGATACCCTTTGGATAATCCCATTTATGGATCTGTTCTAGAGGCCCCTATTTATAATGTTTGAATCCCTCTTATGTGACTGTATAACAATTTGTCCTTCACATGGGAAACAAACCATGTTAACAAAGTATGACTTTTTAATAACAACACGCAGCAAGATATACAACTGAATATATCGTCCTTCCCAGAAGATGTTACAGTGTATTGGCAGCAAGGGAAGAGAATGTGAGATAATGTGCAAACCCCCACCCTGTCTTTGTATAAATTTATCTGAAGAAAGTAATAAATGGGATGAGAACATCTCCCCATTTCCTGAAAGGCAGCTAGTACAATTAACTAAGGCTCAGCCCCTAAAAATCTAGTCAATTGATCTAGTTCTGAGCCCAGGACATCTGAGACCCATTTTTGTGATGAGAGTAGCAACAATACAGATAATAACAGTGTGTTGTTTGATCCTTTTGTGTAGAGTTAGAAAGATAATGAGGCCCTTTTGTGCAATATTTTTCTCTTGGTAAACCAAAGTTTCCGTGTGCTTACAATAATCTCCTAGCACAGAGTAGAGAAATACCTCTGATTTTAGTGGATCATGAAAGTCTGACCTTGAGCCTTGTAAATTAAGAGATCTGATGATGTCAGTAGCACACTAAAATTTGTCTCATCAGAGAGAAATCTGAATAATTGGCATTTGATGACTCAAGTCTTTGAATTAATCAAGAAAAGACAGTTTGGTGCATCCCTCTTACAAAAGGAACTTGAAGAAATGAAGCATTCTACTTCCAATTTGATGGCACACCCAGAGCATTCAACATATGTTTGCTATGACACCTTCTCCTGGACTTATATTCGTGTACAGGGAGACCTCAAAAAAACTGGAATTATCTTTTGGAGGGCAGGCCCCTTGTAGTACAGTCTTCCCCCACTAGATAAGCGTTATAAGAACTTATCTGCATCGGTGACACACCGGCTAGCGTTATTAGAGGCTGCATTTGACTTCAGTGACTTTTTTTTTTTTTTTGGAGATTATTTCATCGTGTTTGCCCTTTTCATGATGAGTGATTTATGAGTGTACCTGCCCACACCTCACTGAGTGTTCAGCAGTTTTTGACCAAAAGCAGCGTGATCCCGTGTCCCACCCTCCTTTACCCAGGCTCACCCCAAGTGACTTTTTTGTGTGTTCATGGATGAAAAAAGTCTTCAGAATGTTTTGCTGATGTGGAAGAAGTGAAACAAAGAATGGCAGAAGCAGTGAAAGGGATCAGAATTGAAGAGTTCCAGAACTGTTTTGAGCAGTGAGAAAAGTGTCTCAATAGGTGTATTGCATCAAGCAGAGGGTACTTTGAAAGTGACATTAAGTTTGCGATTTGGGGGGGGGTTGGAGTTTGGGGGGGCTTTGGGGGTCCCTATTGCATATTGAGTTGAATCTTTTCATTCCTGGGAGTCAGTTTTTTTGTGTGTCTTCAATCTCAGGGGAGTATCTTATTCTATGAAATTATTTCCTGCAATATCTATTCCTTTTATTTCTTTTTTCCTTTAGCCAGGATTATACCTCAGGGGATTCTAAGACAAATTTATAATTTGTTTTTTTCTCTAAAAACAGTATATAATGCTAAGAAGGCAATGCTGACCAAACAGTATACAGCTACTTGAACTACCAAAATCTCCCCAACCCTCTCCCACTGCAGTTATCGCCAAAAAAGCCACAATAATACATATTCCTAGTTTTTCAAAAAAAATTTTGCAACAAGTTATCATAGAGAAAAGCTTAGCATTTGTTCATGCTATCAAATCACTTTTTGCTTAAATTACATTTTCACACTTATATTAAAAATTAAGCAGCTCATCACATTGCTCTGGAAGTTTTGGCCAGTGCTGTATGATAAGAGAAGGAAATAAGATAGAACAAGGAGAAAAATATCATTATTTGCATGTGTATATCATCTGAACATTATCTTGAGTTAGAGTTTTTCTTCTAATAGCCAAAAGCACAAGGGCAAAAATTGAGAGATTTCACCAGATGAACATTTAAAATTTTCCTGTGTTAAAAATAGACTATAAAAGCCAGGAAAAAGCTTGCCACTTCATAGTTATCTAGTTTATTATAGTGGGAAAAAGCATAGGAGATACCAAAAAGTATTTTTAAAAAGAAATACTACTGGTTCATTAAATCACTGTTAGTTACTAAATCTCACCAGTAACCAAAGAAATGAAAAAATAATGACATTTTTTTGGTGGGAGGAAAAGGATAGGACTTTGGAAAGCAAAACAAAACATTAATAAGCATTTTTGATAAGAATGTAACCAAATTTGTTCTCTTGCACACTATGATTGTAAAATATTATAACCTCTTTGGAGAACAGTTTGGCAGTATATTTCAGAAACCTTAAAAGTATGCATGCCTTCTAATTCAGTAATTCTCCTTTTGAGGATTTTCACTGAGGAAATAATCAGATTACCTGTAAAGGTTTTTCTACTTTTGCAGGGAAGTGCCTATATAATAATGTCATTTATAATAATAGAAAATGGCAGTCTAAATGTCATTAGGAGTTTGGATAACTGGAATATGTAAAATACATATAGCAGAGTACTATGCTTTCATTAAAAATAGTTTTGTAGAAGAATATCTAATGACATAAAAATGTAAGATAGTAAATAAAATTAAAAAAAAAAAAAAAAACTAGCTGGGCATGGTTAGCACACGCCTGTAGTTCTGGCTACCTGGAAATCTGAGGCGGAAGGATCACCCAAGCCTCGCAGATTGACTCTGGGGTGCCTGGGAGCGTGCCACTGCACTCTAGCCTGAGCAATGGAGTGAGACTCCAACTCAAAAATAAATAAATAAATGAAAAAAATTGTGACTTACAAATTGTATTTATAATCTGATCCCAGATCTTGTCTTTGGGTTTTTCTGTGAACATATATTGGTGTTTTGTCATCTGAAATAACAGGTATATTTATCAATAAATGCAGCAGTGATTTTTGTTACGATTTTGAAATGTATATCTCAGTGTTTATAGGGGTTATCATATTCCAAGTTGCTTTTTGAAGAGTTTAAAAGTAATTTTCTTAAAAATAACAAGATATACTTTTTTATTTATATAGATATTCCTGATCAAGTTATAAGAGTTTTCAAAGCAGATCAACAAAGTTGCTACATTATCATCAGTAAAGATACTACAGCTAAAGAAGTAGTTTGTCATGCTGTTCATGAATTTGGTTTGACTGGCGCATCTGACACATATTCTCTCTGTGAAGTTTCTGTTACTCCTGAGGGTGTAATAAAACAGAGAAGACTTCCAGATCAATTCTCCAAGTTAGCTGATAGAATTCAACTTAATGGAAGGTAAATAAGCATATTAATAAATCTGCTTATTTGTAGATGTGCTTTTGTAGATTCCTTGTTAAAACAGATAATTTTAATTGAAGCGTGTTTTAGTGTCACTGAGTTCACCCTAAAATTAAAATAGAATGTCTCTTTTTTCCAAACTTTCCTATCTCCATAATTGTGTAAATAGAATCTTAGGGTACTGGTATTCACACAGACTACCTGTGATCCCAGCACTTGGGAGGCCGAGAAGAGAGGATTGCCTGAGCCCGGGGGTTCAAGACCAGCCTGAGCAACTTGGCGAGACCTTGTCTGTACAGTAAATCACAAAAACTAGCCAGGCATGGTGGTGTGCATCTATAGTTACAGCTACTTGGAAGGCTGAGGCGGAAGGATCACCTAAGCCCAGCAAGTCAAGTCTGCAGTTACCTTGAGCATGCCACTGCACTCCAGCCTGGGTGACAAAAATGAGACTCCACTCAAAAAAAAAGAGAGAGAGAAGTTTGCTAAAATGAAGTCTTAGAACCACTGATGTACTCTAATTCCTGTTTTTTACAGAGGAGAAAATTGAGTAACACAAATCTTCATATGTATCTGAGTGTATGTGTATTAATTTATAAATTTGTTTTTAATATGACCAGTATATACTTTAGGCAAAAAAAAAAAAAAAGCCATGATTTTCACAATTCTTTTTGTAAGTAGCTTTCCTTTTGTACATATGCAGGAAAACTTAAAAAAAATTTTAAAGGTACTCTGAAAATTATTTGATAAACTAAGATTGTTTTGAAGCACTTTTATTTCTTGCTTTGGTCATTTTCTCTAAATAATCTTTTTTAGTGACCCATTTTCACATGTAATACAAGATTTTTGGAAACCTTAAAATGATGACTCATCATGGTTGCCACGAAGACAAAATGAGCTAACTCTGCTTTGCTGGCTGTATATAGTGGTTAACAGCATAGACCCTGGAGCCCAACTGCCCATTTTCAAATTCCAGCTTTGGCTGTGTGACCTTGAGCAAATTATTTAGCTTCTCTGTGCTTTAATTTTCTCATCCATAAAATAAAGATACTCTACCTCATGGGAGTGTTGTAAGAGTTAGATGAGTTAATAAGCATAGCATACTCTAAAAGTCGTAGACATAATTTTATTATCTATTGTATAGTGAAATTCAGCACTATTATTCATGGTCTTAGGTATGTTTAAAATGTAAAAGCAGGAAAAAATAGTGTCTTTACAGTGAAAAATAGATGGACACAAAAAGGCTTAAAATCAGGTTGTATTAATAGAAAAGAGTGAAGTAAAAGTTCACTACCTCTTTTCCCTGATGACATTTTTACATAAGATATATCCAACTGTAAATACTTGAAACCTGTCTTTTAGCTTTTAAGTACCATAGAATTGTTCTAAAGTGAAGAAAGGAAAATGTATGTCTTTTTTATGGTTATTGGTCAGGACCACTTGCAGTAATGAGATTTTGTATTTAACAAGGGAGAAACCATTAATGGAAGTGTTTTCCTTCCTTTATGAATTTTATTTTTCTTTGCTTCACTTGGAAATTTAATTTAAAAAAGGAAATGAGTGCAGCACCAATTTCTGAGTAGAGAATTAAACAGTCTTGATTCTGGTATTTGCCTTAATCAGAATTCACACTGTCCATAAATAAATATTTATTTAGTACTAACCACATGTCAGATACTATTCTAGGTGCTGATCTTGTCCTCATAAAGCTTTTATTCTTAAGAATATACACAAATGATTGTTCACATATGGTGAGTGGTTTCATAAAATGATAAAGTTCATGGCATAATCAACTTTATTTTTACTCTTTAAAATAATGGATGTCGGCCGGGCACAGTGGCTCACACCTATAATCCCACCACTTTGGGAAGCTGAGGTCAGAGGATTACCTGAGCCCACAGGTTCAAGACCAGCCTGGGTAACTTGGTGAGACCTCATCTCTACAGTAAATCAAAAATAATTTAGCCGGGCATGCTGGCGTGTACCTATAGTTCTAGCTACTTGGAAGGCTGAAGCGGAAGGATCACCTGAGCCCAGCAGGTTGAGGCTCTGGTGGCCATAAGTGTGCTGCTGCACTCCAGCCTGGGCACAGAGTGAGACTCCACTCAAAGAAAAAAATAATAATAGATGTCAAATTGTGGAATAAGAGAAGAACTTATTGGAAGTCTTCTCATTTAAAATGTTAGTTTTTCATTTTATCTTTGATTATTTTTGGCAAAAAAGTTATTAACAGTAAAATGATTTTTTTTTTTTTGAGTCAGACTCTCACTCTGTGGTCCAGGCCGGAGTGCTCACAGCTACCACAGCCTCTGCCTGCAGGGCTCAGGTGATCCTTCTGCCTCAACCTTCCAAGTAGCTACAATGAGGTCTTGCCAAGTTGTCCAGGCTGGTCTCAAACTCTTGTGCTCAGGCATTCCTCTGGCCTCTGCTCCCAAAGTGCTGAGATTACAGGTGTGAGCCAACATTAATAAGAGGAAAAATGCTCTTTTATAAATGTGAAATCACATTTATGATTACATTTCTTTTAAAAAAAAAAAACAAAACTTTTTTTTTTCTCCTTTTAGGTATTATTTAAAAAATAACATGGAGACAGAAACCTTATGTTCAGATGAAGATGCTCAAGAACTAGTTAAGGAAAGCCAACTATCCCTGTTGCAGCTCAGTACCATTGAGGTGGCCACCCAGCTGTCAATGAGGGATTTTGATTTGTTTCGTAATATTGAGCCTACTGAATACATTGATGACCTTTTTAAGATAGATTCCAAAACAGGAAATACTCACTTAAAAGAGTTTGCAGATGTTGTAAACCAAGAAACATTCTGGGTTGCCTCAGAGATTTTAACTGAACCAAATCAGCTCAAACGAATGAAGATAATTAAGCATTTTATTAAAATCGCACTTCATTGTCGAGAATGTAAGAACTTCAATTCCATGTTTGCAATAATAAGGTAAGTTTGTACAAATAGCCATAGACTTTTTGTACAAATAGCCACTAATCTCATGTACACAAGTCCCCCGCAGAATTTATAATGATTTGTTTCTATTACTCACATAAGATTAAAGTGGAATCTTTAGAGAGATTCTTTAATTATGATGTCTCTGTCATGGTAATGGGGTGCTTCTTTATTAATAGTGTCTGCAATTGTATGATTTTGTCATAATAGTAGACATGAGGCTGGTTTTCTGATTAAGTATTAAATGCCTATGAAAAGTTCAATTATTATACCTTTATTGAAGTATTGTTAGATTTAATATAGTTTTCATTCTGGTGGTTTTAGCTCTTTCTATTTTTGTTTCTTCTATCTTTCTGTTACTTAATCATTTTTTTGTAAATGAATGTGGTTGACTGTCTTCTCATTTTTCTTTCTCTTCCTCCCTTGAGTGATTATGCCCTCTTTGGATATGTGCCTAGTGGCTGGTCTTCGCCTTTGGATTTCTGTACTGTGCATATTTAAGTAACTGCCTCACTATGATTTGACCCAGAACAATCATAGTATGGATATCATACTCCAACCTAAAATTGCTATTTTGAATTTAAAACAGCAATAATAACAACAGCAACCATTTGATGAGCTCTTTCTATTTGCCAGGTAGTACTTGAGGGTATCACTGGATGTGTTTTTACTCAAGCAAGCTAGACTATTGGAATTATAAAAATCTTTTAAAGCTTATGGTCCAGGAAGTGTAGATGATTACATGAACCTCCCCACTACCTTCTTCCCACTCATTATGAGAAGCTAATTCTAGGTAATTTATTTTTCTGACCTTCATCCAGCACACTGCTTGATCACCCAAAGGATTACTCTTCAAACAAGCTTAATATGAAAGGGGAGGGAGATTATAGTTAGATCCATTTATAAGGCCATGTGCTTATATGTAGCAACATAATTTCACCTTCACTAATCCCATTTACACAAGTCCCCCACAGAATTTATAATAATTTGTTTCTATTACATAAGATGAAAGTGGGATCTTTAGAGGGATTCTTTAATTATGATGTCTCTGTCATGGTAATAGGGTGCTCCTTTATTAAATTAACAGTGGCAGTTGGGCACGGTGGCTCAGCCTGTAATCCCAGCACTTTGGGAGGCCAAGGCAAGAGGATTGCCTGAGTCTGGAGGTTTAAGACCAGCCTGGGCAACTTGGTGAGCCCTCATCTCTAAAATAAATCACAGAAACTAGCCCAGTGTGGTGGCGTGCACCTGTAGTTTCAGCTACTTGAAAGGCTGCGGCGGAAGAATTGCCTAAGCCCAGCAGGTCGAGGCTGCTGTGGCAGTGAGTGTGCCACGGCACTCCAGCCTGGGCGACAAAGAGTAAGACTCCAACTCAAAAAAAAAAAAAAAAGCAGTGGCTGCTGTTGAACTAAACACTAAAGGAATATTGAGTAGGGATTAGCAGGGTGACTTTTAGAATCAACTGCACCTGTATTTGAATCCTGCCTCACTTAATAGCAGTATGTCAGTGGAAAAATGAATACTGGTTTTCTTATTTATAAAATGCAGGAATTCTGCCACCTGCTTCAATTTTTAATAACTTGGTCTAAAATAGGGGAACAAAGATGACATTGATAAATACTTGAAGATCTAGAAATTGAACCTGTTTTGTATAATATTTGCTGAGTAAAAAATTTGAGAATTGCAGGCTCAGTTTTAGAGTACTCCATAAAGAATATTGATTGACACTGAGCAGTTACAGGATCTTTGTGTAAAAAGAGTATTGAAAGAAAATGATAGAGGTTAAAAACCTACCTTAGTAGCCATCTTCAGTATGGTGTAAAGAAGAAAGAGAGTCTAGCCAAAGAGATGGAGGATGAGTACAAGAAATAGAGTAGCTCAATTATGATAGTGTCATTAAAGCCATAGAAAGAATGATTTGAGAGAAGGTAGTAAGACAATAGCGTCATGAAAGGTATAGGAAAGGCCTGAGGTTTGGTTAAGAGACTGATTGGTTAAGAACTTCTGTTACAAATAATATTTTTCGTACACATTTTCTATAGTTCAGGTAAAGATAATTGCTTTGTATTCATATCTTGTATTTTATATTCTAGTGTATCAAAGAATATATAGGACATTAGTTCTTTTAGCAGAGATGGCAAAGTGAATCATTCAGTTCTGACTTTGATAGCATATTTTACATAATTAAACAATAATTTTAACTTTTTGAACAGACAGTATATGTACATGGAAAAAAATGATAAGATAGGCAAACAGTACTCACTGTAAAGTAACTCTTCCTCCTACTCAGACCCTAGTTCACTCAAATTCCTCTGCCCAGAGGCAACTACTAATTAATTTTTTTATACGAGTTACCTTATAACATATAGCAAGCATATAAATATATTTTAAAGCCACCTTGGTTTCTTTTGTTTGATTTATCTTGGAGATTATTCCAAATCAGTACTTATAAAGCTGCCTCTCAGGAGGAGCACTTAAGATCAAGAGTTTGAGGCTGCAGTGAGCTATGATGGTACCACTGCACTCCAGCCTGGGCAGCAAACAAGACTCCATCTCTTAAAAACAAACACACAAAAAGCTACGCATTTTTTAATGATTACAAAATATTCCATTGTGTTGTGGTATACACATTATTTATGGATATCTTTAAATTTCCAGCTTTTAGCTATTTAAGCAATGTATGCTGTTTGCCTTTGCCATACAGAAACTTTTTATTTTTATGTAGATTTATCAGTTTTTTTTCTCTTGGAGTTTCTTCATTTCGTATTTAGTTAAGAACAAAGAACTACTTTGGTTTGAATTCACTGTTGGCACTTACTATGTGAACTGAGTTTTCTCATTTGGAAAATGGGGAATCTTGGTATTTCCTACTTCATAGGGTTGTCAAAAGCACTCAGTGAGTTAATACAGTGAAAACTCTTGGAACACCCTACGATGATACTAGAATTCTCACATTTTCTTCTTTATACTATTAAAGTTTATGTACATAACATTTTCTTCAGATAGTGATAACTTTGCCTCATTTATTCCATTTATCTATTTATCTTGTCTATTTTCATCTGCTAGTGATCTGTGTTAAATAATACAGCTGTTGCAGTATCCACCAGGGGGTTGGTTCCAAGACTTCATGAATACCAAAATCTTCACATACTCAAGTCCTACAGTTCACCCTATGGAACCCATGGATACAAAAAAGTCAGCCTTTCATATTAGCAGGTTTCACATCCCAAGAGTACTGTTCTCCCCCCTCCCGTGCTGGGGTCTCCTGTTGCCCAGGCTGAAGTGCGTTGGCATGATCATGGCAATCACAGTTCACTGCAGCCTTGACCTCCTGGGCTCAGGCACTCCTTCAACCTCGGCATCTTGAGTAGCTGGCACTACAGGCATGTGCCATCATACCCGGCTAATTTTTTTATTTTTTATTTTTTGTATAGAGGAGGTTTTGCTATGTTGCCTAGGCTGGGAGTGGTGTATTTCTAATCTGTATTTGAATGCAAACTCAGAACCCGTAGATATAGAGGACTGCCTGTATTTACTGAAAAAAATCTGCATAAAAGTGGATCTGTGCAGTTCAGACTCATGTTGTTCAAGGGTCAACTGTAATTGTAATTTTGAAACTTTTTTCATAATTTGTGGCTCTTAATCTAGGAATGCTTCTAGTATTTCTCCATTAAACATAATGTTAGCTTTGAGCTGAAAAATATGTTATGCTTTCTGTTCTCTTTTACTGATTTTCTAAAAAATTGAACTTAATTATTTTTTTTTGTATCTAAAGTGATCATAAAGTTTTTCTCTTTATGTATTAATATGATAAATGATTGTAATCGTTTTCTAAGAATACGTTACCCTTTCATTCTGGCATGAACTCTGTAATCGTGATAAATTTTCTTTAAATGTATTACAAAAATAATTTTTACTGTTATATAAAATTTTTGTACTTTTTTATAGGTGAATTTGATATATAATATTTTTTTTGTTGGCTTGAATGGCTTATTTGTAGATCTTAATTTCAGTATGGAGGCCGGGCACAGTAGCTCAAGCCTGTAATCCCAGCACTTTGGGAGGCCAAGGTGAGAGGATTGCCTGAGCCGAGGGGTTGGAGACCAGTCTGCGCAATTTGTTGAGACCTCATCTCTACAATAAATCAAAAAAATTAGTCGGGCATAGTAGTATGCGCCTGCAGGTCGAGACTGCAGTGGCCATGAGCATACCAGTGCACCCCAGCCTGGACAACAGAGTGAGACTCCAACTCAGAAAAAAAAAAATTTAAATTTTAGTACTGTGCTGGCTTAATAAAATTGGAAAGCTTTCATCCCTGTGCTCTGTAACAGTTTAAGTGGCATTGGAGCCAAAGTGGTTACAGTTTTGAAAGAATTCACCTGTGAAACCATCTGGGCTATGATGTTCTTTAATAATCTCTATCATCTTTTGAGGTTTTGTATGTCTTTCAGTTTCAGTGTTAATTCTAAGATAGAGGTTGGTAAACTTTCTGGAAAGAAAATAATTTAGGCTTTATGGGATATACAGTATCTGTTATAACTGCTTAACTCTGCCATTGTGGCACAAAAGCAGCCATAAACAGTAAACAAATGGGTATCCATGTTCCAGTACAATTTTATTTACAAAAACAGGCAGTGGAATTAATTTGGCCCACTGGTTGTCATTTGGTGAACTTTTTCATTCAGACTTTAAATTAGTTTGCATGTAGAATTTAGCAAATTAGCCTATTGTGCTCTTTTAATTTCCTGTATATCCTCATTCTTATTTCTTATTCTGTGTATTTGACTCCAGTGAGCCATAGTTTGCCAAGTCTTGTTTTAAACAACCTTATGATCCTCACCACAGTCTTTTTCTTATACTTTCTCCAGTTATCTCTTGGTTGAAACTTTTCTAGTCATTTTTTGAAGAAGGGCTTGTGGGAATTACATTTTCCGAATATATTTATAATCTCTTTCTGCATTTGATCTTGAAGGACAGGCTGTCCAGCTGTAAAATTCTTGTTTCATACTATTTCTTGGGGACTTCATAGACAGTAGCCCTCAACTAGCATTTTATGTGGCTGTTTAAATTCCTGAGATTAACTTGAATTATTTCTTCCCAGCTGCATTCCCAGATTCTTTCCCATATCTCTGAAGTCATTTACCTTTGCATGGATGTTTCTACATAACTTTTGGTTCTATATCAGGTTCTCCTAGATGCATTTTCAATCTGTAGTTTCAAGTCTTTTGTTTCTGGAATATTTTCTCAAATTTTATCTTTGAACATTTTTTTCATTTTTATTATTTTGTTGTCCCCTTCAGGGATACCAGTTACACACATTTTGAATCTCCTTTGTTTGTCTTTCATATCTATTGTTTTCTCTCTAGTTCCTTTCAACTCTGGTCATTTGCATTGATTTATTAACCCTTTCCTTCATGTCACTTGCACAGTGTTTTATCAGTGTCTTTATTTTTCTTTATGTAGGTTCCAGTGTGACCTTCATTTCTGTGTAGGTTTTATTTTTTCTTCCAATTCTGTCTGAGCTCTACTAGTTAATTTTTTAATCAATATCTCTTAGCATATTTTCCCTAAGCTTGTGTATACTAGATTATTAAACTCTTTATTTGTTTTGTTAATTTGTCTGAAATCATGGGTAGGTGTTGGTTAATATGGGTTTTTATCCTATTGTCGACGACATTTTCCTGCTCTATGATCTTTAACTGTTTTTCCTTGTGGCTACTTGTTACAGATCCTATGTTCATTTTTTCTTTTTCAATAACATGAATTTTCCTGCACAAGCTATTTGTAAGAGGTGCCAGAGCAGTATTTCAATCTAACAGGAATTATTGGGCTTATTTGTGAATTGTTTTACCCTTTACTTAATGGAGATTGGAAGCTCTAAGGCTGCTTACAGCTTCTGTCTTCTATTTCACTGTTTAAACACATTCCTACCAAAATGTGTCTCTGTGTGTATTAATCTTACTTTCCCTAACACTTTATAATAAGGAAAGACCCAGTCCTGCCTTAGTCCCATCAGCCTATGTATTCTTCCAAATTTATTGTTGTTTTTGCTCTCAGGGTGAGTTACCTGCTTTGGAGAAGTGCTTTGCCAGCTTTCCTTGAGATCCTCAGCTGCAGACATTGTTTTTCAGTATCTTTGCATACTCTTGTTTGACCTTGACTATTTTTTGGCAACCTTTCTCCTGTATTTAGGAGTTAGTTGTCTCTTAGTTTTAGTGGAGATGAAACTTACATTTGTGTTATTCACTCTTCTTGTTGTTTAGGGTGATTTCTGAGAAGCAATGGATACAAAGCTATCTTATCTCCATACTTTAAAATCAGAAATCAAGAGAACTTTTTAAATATGGTGGCATGGGTAAAAGTCAGATGGCTGAGAAACAAAGGATTAGCTGGCAAGAAAATTGAAGCATTATATATATACCCTTTATTTGACAGCCTACCAATCGTATTATATGGTGGTAAAGAAACAGAAGATTTACAGCCTAATTGGCATGGATTATTTTTTCAAGTTAGGGACTATCTGAGCTTGTTTAAAAGGCTGTGTATAGGTATAACTATAGGCAAGTAATGTGGTTCCTCTGAAAAAAGTTCTCCTTGTTTTCAGATCAAGGAGTACCTTTTAGTTTGTCATATTTTTCTGTTTATCTCAATGTGTTAAAATATGTTCCTGCTTATTTTTAGCTTTATTGGAGAACTTGTTATATATACTCTCCTGACTTTAGTCCACCCTCTCCCCCAAGTCTCTTTTAATGTTTTTGTTCTCGTCTTTGGCAGTGGCTTGAACCTAGCACCTGTAGCACGACTCAGAGGTACGTGGGAAAAATTACCAAGCAAATATGAGAAACATCTCCAAGATCTACAAGACCTTTTTGATCCATCTAGAAACATGGCAAAGTATAGAAATATTCTTAGTAGTCAAAGCATGCAGCCTCCAATTATTCCACTCTTTCCCGTTGTCAAGAAAGATATGACATTTCTACATGAAGGTATTTAAAAGTTACTTGAAAATTAACATGTTTAGCTTAAGCTAATTTTATAGAATTGTAATTTGTTATATTTATATTTATATATTATATTCAGGAGGCAATTAATAGATTCAATAGTTGTATAATCAGCTTTAGAAGACAGCTTGGCATTATTATCTACTAAAGTAAGACCTTGTCATTCTCACATTCATCATTCTCACCAACACCTGTTAAATTTAGTCTTTCTCTTTTCACCTATTCCAACAAGCATGTACCTGTATCTTGGTGTGGTTGTAATTTGCATTTCCCTGATTACTAATGAGGTTGTGTGTGTGTGTGTCTGTCTTTTGTCAGTTGGTTCAGGTTTCTTGCCAGTTTTTTTCCTTAGGTAGTCTTTTTTGTTTAATATGTTTGTAAATATTCTTTATATATCAGATTATGACTCACCTTTTGGTTTTATTAATTTTTTAATTGACAAATAATTTTAGTCTTTTGACTCTTTTTATTTTATTTTATTTTTTTTGAGTTGGAGTCTCACTCTGTCACCCAGACTGGAGTGCAGTGGCCGCTCCCAGCCACCGCAGCCTCGACCTGCTGGGCCCCGGTGATCCTTCCGCCTCAGCCTTCCAGGTAGCCGGAATTACAGGCGTGTGCTACCACACCTGGCTAATTTTTTTGTTGTATTATGGAGATGAGGTCTCGCCAAGTTGCCCAGGCAGGTCTTGAACTCACGGGCTCAGGCAATCCACTCACCTCAGCCTCCCAAAGGCGCGGGATTACAGACTGTGCCACCGAGCCCGGCTGCCTTTTGACTCTTAAAGTGATCTTTTACTAGACAGAAGTTCTCAGTCTTAAAGGCCTGATTTATTGATCTTTTACCATACATTTTATCTATAATCTACCCAAATTGATTTTTGTGTAAGGTATTTTTTTCCTGCTGTGTTAACTTGGTAACTGTACATTTTTTACCATTTTTCTAGTGTTACCCTGGATATCTTACTATATATATTTGTTAATATAAATTAGTTTAAAATATGCATTAGTACTTTTTTTATATGTCAGGCAATGCAAGAAATTTAGACCACTTAAATTCTATTTACTCACCTTCCAATTTTTATGCAGTTGTTGCTATGCCTTTAAATCTTACAACATAATATTGTTGTTTAGTAAAGTAAGTTAGTATTTCTTTAACCTTATGTTTATACTTGCTTTAGTTTAGTTTATTTGTTTTGAGTCATTGTCTCACTCTGTTGCCCAGGTCGGAGTGCAGTGGCACAGTCACAGCTCACCACAGTCCAACTCCTGGGCTCAAGTGATCCTTCTGTCTCAGCCTCTTGAATGGCTGGGACTACAGGCACACACCTAATTTTTTTAATTTTTATAGAAACGAAGTCTTAACTGTGTTTGTTGCCTAGGCTTGTCTTGGATTCCTGGACTCAAATAATCCTTCTGCCATGGCCTCCCAAAGTAATGGGATTACAGGTGTGAGCCACCATACCCAGCCTCACTTTTGTTGTTGTTAGTGTTTTTTTATTTATTCCTGCATTCCAGAACTTCCAGATGGTTGGATGTGGTTTTTGAGTCTCTAGAACATTGTTTAGTATTCCCTTAAGTGCAAGTTTTCTGGTGATGGAAAACTCTTCATTTTTGTTTATCTGAAAATACCTGTACTTCATTTTCAGAGGTATATTTTCGGTTCGCAACTCCCTTTCAGTATTTTGAGATAATACTCCATTGTCTCTGGCTTCCGTCATTTGTTGTTGTTGTTGTTTTTCTTCAGAAAATTATTTTAATAGTTACAAATTTTTTTTTGTAGAATCAGTATAAAATAGCAGTTTATTTCTCCATAATTATCAGTATTATTTATACTTGAGATCTTGGATAAATGGGGCTGAAATCAGCAAAAGGTCTTGGACTGTTGGCTCAGAAATCATTCTAGGAAGCCCACCCTGTTGATAGCTGTCAGGCTTAGCTCTCATGAGATGACCCGGCCCTTTTAAAAAAAAGTATTTCTCAGCCGGGCTCAGTGGCTCAGCCTGTAATCCCGCGCCTTTGGGAGGCTGAGGTGAGTGGATTGCCTGAGCCCACGGGTTCGAGACCCGCCTGGGCAGCGAGACCTCATCTCTACAATAAATCAGCTGGGCATGGTAGCGCATGCCTGTAATTCCGGCTACTTGGAAGGCTGAGGCGGAAGGATCACCAGAGCCCAGCAGGTCGAGGCTGCGGTGGCCGGGAGCGCCCACTGCACTCCAGTCTGGGCGACAGAGTGAGACTCCAACTCAAAAAAAAAAAAGTATTTCTCTTTATTTATTCTTTGGAAACTTGAAGTTAATTCAGCAGCGTTCGTTAAACCCCTTCCAGTTCCTGTCATTTACCACTTTAGCAGTCAGTTTAGACTGCATCCATTTTAACTTTGCTCTTTTCTAAGTTGCTGTAATAATGGTAAATCATCCAAATTCTTTTCTCTCTCCTTGGAGATTTTTTACTACTGCTGAAGTCTGGGCTATACAGTTTTTTATGACTCTCTCCCTGCTGGCATGAGCTGCCATCAAATACGCCCTCTAGCGAGGGCAAGAAAACATGAAGATGTCATTCTTTTATTCACAGTTTAGTTACATGATAATTTATTTTGCCTGGAACTCGGCAAAGTCTTCACAGTTCACACAACCACTGAGCACTGCCATATTGGACCAGCTGCCATCGTTATATGTTGAGAAGTCAGCTTTCATTTTTATTTCTTGTTCCTTTGACTGTTATCTTCCTTCCTTTGGTACCTGCTGTTACAATTTTTTTTCTCTATTTTTCTCTCGTTTTGCTTGATGTGACTAGGTATGGAGTTTTTTTGTTTGTTTGTTTTAATTTTTGTTGGTATTTACAGGACATCTTAATGTATGATTTGATAATTTTCATCTGTTTTGGGGAAATTCTCTGTTATTTTAAGTCTTGTTCAATTTTTCTCTTCAAGTATGTGTAATCTGTTAAATTCATTACTGAGTTCCTAATTCCAGTTACTATATTTTTGGGGATTTTACAACTTTTTTTTTCTTTTCCAAAATTCTTAAGTGTTTTTTATATCTTTGAACATATTCAACATAGTTATTTTAATGTCTGTCTTTGATAACTTCATAATCTGGGTCTCCTATGAGTCTATTTCTGTTAACTCTTTTTTTCTCTTGCATTTCAGTTATGTTATGTTTTATCCTGATATACTTGGTTATTACTGATAAAGAAGTGAATGTTGTGCATAAAAAACTACAGAAATAATTGGAGGTTTCAAGTGATGTTCCATTTTCTTCAGAGAGGATTAAAACTTGCTTCTGACAAGCATCTAGGATTACTAGCAATTCAAAAATCACTTTAACCTGTTTTCAAGTTTTGACATAGTTTAACACCAGACTTTTTGTCCTGGCCCATATTGGGTTCATCCTTAGTCCCAGGATATACCTTTCAGAGTTCCAACTAAAAGCACTAGAGGTTTACTTGGACTTTAGTTGCTTTTCTTTTTACCCCAAGAGACAGGATGTCTCCTTTTTTAGCTCATCATCTCCCTCCACTGAAATCAGCAGATGCACCTAAGGGGCAAGCACTGGGAAATGCTAAACTTGCCTCCGTCCATTCTTTACCCTGATCTTCACTGCCTGGTCAGCTTTTTGATGCCTTTAAACTTTTTTTTCCTGTTTTTGTCCACCTTTTCTGATCGTTCTCAGCATAAGTATTGTTGTAATTACCTAGTCTTACTGCTTCTATTCATTATCATTTATTTTTAAAAGGAAATGTTGTTAAAGCCTTTAAATATATTTTTTTACATGCTTCCTCAAAACCTTTATGTGACTTGAGAGTATTTTTTATGGTTATTTTATTTCCAACTCCTGCTGAGACCCTGAACAATTAATATATTCAGTGCATAGGTAAAGTTTACCATGTATTCCAGACTAGTGGTTCTCAATCTTGGCTTCAGTGACTTGGACTTCCACCAAGGGTCCTTAGGTCCTACCATATGAGATAAATAGGGTCATACTGTTAAAGACAAGTGTGAAAAAAACTGCTGAAGAGAGTTAGATTACCCTTTGAAGATAATTTTTTGCCTCATGTTTTGGACAAGTAGGCTAATAAGTGGGCTATGTCTAGTCTCATACCTAATCTCTTCAAAGGAGAATAGACCATTTGAAAATTGTATAAATATTTCCTCTGAGAACTGTTGAACAAAACAAATGAGCAGGCAAATCTGGGTAAAGGATAAAGTCATAATTGTAAATTGCAGACTGGAAAGTGTATATCCCTTTGAGGCAGCCACCTCTTAGTTTTAACTAATTATTGCCTTTTGGAAAACAGACCCAATATTATTTAATCCCCCATCCCACACCCCTTTTTTTCTTCAAGGGAAGCCAGAAATCCTTGTATTTTTATGGGCTATTTTCTACTTCTTAAGTGATGTCAACTCATTTAACAATTTTTAAAGTATTATAACCAAAGAAAATTTGCTGCAGGCTAGCTTAATTAAGCCCAGAGATGACCTTGTTACCTCTGGCTAAAGTCTATTTTCAAGTGTGTACCCTTGTTGTCCAGAAGAACAAATGTAGGTACCTACCTGAAAATGGACTGAGCAATAGAGAGTTAGATTTGAGGAGCTGCACATTTTTTATAGGTGTGTATATAAAATAATGAAATTAACTTTAGAAATCATGCACAGTTTACCACTTTCCTTATTCATAATCATTTGAATACAATTTTTCTTAGTGACTCATTTCTTACAAACAGGATTGAGCCATCTGTGGATATATCAATTCTTTTTTTTTCCTTGTCTGTTTTTTTTCATGTGGAGTACAATTCAGGGTCAGGTATACAAATGGTCATCATGCAGATACCTTAGTATTATGATAATTGTTCAGGGTCTGCACATTAGTGAGAACATTTGATACTCAGTTCTTTGTTTCTGTGATGATCACTCAGTATTATAGACTCTAAGTTCATCCAAGTTGCTATGAAGTTTATCATTTTGTCCTCCTTTATGGCTGCATAGATATATCAATTCTTAAAAACAAAGTGGCATTTTGATAAAGAACGTTGTTACTTGTGCCCCTCAAGAATAACAACTTGAGTTCTGCTACTTTTATATGTATAATATAATTTTGAAACTTAAAATTTTATTTTTACTGTACAGGAAATGACTCCAAAGTAGATGGTTTAGTAAACTTTGAGAAGCTAAGGATGATTTCCAAGGAAATTCGCCAAGTTGTTCGAATGACTTCTGCTAACATGGACCCAGCTATGATGTTCCGGCAGAGGTATGGCATTGAAATGTGTAAAAGTGTTAGAGTGGCATTGAGGGTTATATAATAATAATCATAGTATTTATCATTTATTGATCATCTACCATTTGTTGTGTGCTGTACTACGTACTTTACACGTCAATTCAAGTAATTGTTTATCACAATAACCCTTAACAGATAGGTGGCGTTGGTCTTCCTTTTACATATGAAGAAACTGAAGCTCAGAGCAGTTTTTACGTAATTTGCTATGATTTAAACCCTAGTTTCTATATGACTTTTTTTAGTATATGAATATTTTTGTATTGTTATTCTTTAAGATATCAGCAAATATATGTGAAAAATTGCTGATATTTGTGAAATTAGCACAAAAGACAAATGCTTTCATCTGGTTTCTAACTTAATTTGTAAAGTATTAGTCTGCATGCCTTTTATTTTTATTGAATATTTTGAAAGTTCTATTTCTGTCTACTTTATACTTTATCCTCTAAAACATATTTCTTTTTCTCAAATTATAATACTGCTGTTTACTTGTATGTAAGTTCTTATTACATACAAATAAACAGAATTTAGGAAGTGATGATTTAATTATGCTTTATCTTTATTAAAAATGGAAAATAATGGCCAGGGGCAATGGCTCATACCTGTAATATTAGCACTTTGGGAGGCAAAGGTGGGAAGATTGCTTGAGCCCAGGAATTTAAGACCAACCTGGGCAACAAGCGAGATTTCATCTTCTCATAAAATACTAAAAATTAGGTGAATGTGGTGGTGCACATCTGTAATCCCAGCTATCAGAAGGCTGATGTAGGAGGTTGTTTGAGCCTAGGAATTGAAGGCTACAGTGAGCTATGATCTTGCCACTGCACTCCAGCCTGGGCAACACAGTAACACCCCTAATTCAAAAAAAGGAAAATATTGTATTCTTTGTTAAGCCAGTCTTCTAACAATGCTTTTTAAAGTTCATTTTTGGTGTCATAACAAAGACTTCCTCAAATTATATAAAGTTTAAGCAAAGTATGTTGTTAAGCTTTTGCTATTGATTTTATAATTTTAAAAGTACACAGACGTCATGATTTTAATTTTTGGTCTGATGTTCTTTTGGGCCTATGTGTATAGCTTTAGTACATAAGGGCATTAAAAATGAAATAATTTACAAACGCAGTCAGAATTATTGTGATTTTAAAAAATATACTTTGCTAAGGAAACAGAAATACTTGATCATTTAAAAACCAGGGTTAGAGTTGGAGTTTTTGTAAACAAATATAACCAATGTATGTTAGGATTGGTTTTTTATTTGTTTGGTTTAAATCTCTGTTCAGAGTCTGTTTTTGTAAATAGCTGACAGTCGCTCTAGTTTAGAGGTCCTCAAAGAGTAGAGGAAGGAGTGTTCCATCTCTTCATCCTTACTCATCCCACTTCTGACCCTTGAGAATTACTGCATGTAATGAGAGTTGTCATTTCTCAACATTGCAGAAGCAGGAAATAGTAAGAACCAGGGACCAAAGCAAACCTGGAGCAGGATTTGTTTGTTTTTGGTTTTGTTGCATGTCCTTGGACAGTGTCTCTACCTCTCCCTGTTGTCTTACATGGACTTCCATTTACTCACCTATGTTAACACCCTGGTCCCTGAAGATGGAATGAATTTGTGACCCTGTCAGACCAGTTGATAATACACTAAGTCCTAGCCATGCTTCAGAAATGAGCAAAGGAGAGGAAATTAATTAACCTCACTGTTTTCTTGGGACTGGCCAGGGTTGAGTAGAATAAGGTATGGGGGGAAAATAAACATCCATATTTAGATTAAACCAAATTTTTTTCTGAATAAATTTTGTCAGCCAGTATTGAAATATAATATCTTTCTTTAAGCAAATAATGTCCATTTTAGTGTTGTATGATTATCTAGTGTGGACATAGTAATCCTTTTTATTTTAACAGTAATCCATTTGCTGACTAAAGAACAGAATCTTTATTCAGTCAAACAATAATGTAAAGATATACAGTATTATGTATGAATATTTTGGTGATGTTTTCACTTAAATTTTAAGTAGGATTTGCCGGTCAAATTTTCTTACAGAACACATTGTCAGAAACATTTCTGCACCTAAAAATGAAGTTATATATCTTTATGTTCCTTGTAATTTCATTCTGTCATCTAAATGAGTGGCTCAAACATCTTCTCAAAAAGATGCTCAAAAATTCTATTCCTTTAATATTCTTTCCCTAAAACTTTGAAATCAAAATTTATGGTAAATAAATATTTTTCCTTAAGTTTCTTATTAATATAAGCTTTTGGATGAAATAGGTTTTAAAAATATAACTGGTCTAAAACATTTTTCATAATGTTTTGGGATTTTTTTGGCCTTCAGTACATACATAACTCATCTTACTCTTCTGCATTCCATTAAAATCATTATATTGTTAAGCAACAATTTTTTTCCCAGTAAAATTTTTCTGTTCTATTCTGTCTGCATAGTTTCTCTGACTTTCAACTGTTGTCTTTTTTTCTGTGCTTTCCTATTCAAACACATGCTTCAATGTTTGTGGCTCTTGCTTACAGGAAGAAGAGGTGGCGGAGTCTGGGGTAAGTGTAGAGATGAACGCAACTGGAATGAAGGTTGTGCGACTCTTAACGTATACTGCATCCTTTTCATTAATGCACGCACATAAAATAGCATGTATTCTATTAACCCTGTCAGCCTACATTCCTGACAAATGCCTTTTGCTAACAAGGTGAAAGTAGTGATAGAACTAGCTTCCCCTCTCCTTTTCCATTATTGGCATCGTGTAAGTCATTTTTAGATTTTAATTTAGTTGGGTCAGTTAGATGATGATGACGATAGTGAATATTTGTTGCGTGCTTGCTATGTGCCATACACTACTATAAGCACACTAAGTGAATTATTTAATTCTCTTACCACCCTGTGAGTAGAAACCATTGTTCTCATGTTACAGATGAATAAGATAGAATGGTCCAAAGTGTTATATCTCATTAATGAGAGAGCCAAATCTTGGTAATCTGATTCTAGAGTCCACACCACTTTCTTTTATTCAAATTCTAGATTATGTAAAAGTAAATATATAAACGTATAAAAATAGATGAGAGGTCTGTTTATGAAGGTTGAATTTTCCATCCATTTTTCAAAAAGAAACAACCTTTATCCAAGCTGTACTATAAAGTTGAGTTAGAAGATGATTTTAATTCTTCACATCCACTAATGCCATGAGACTTTCAGCAGACTTCCAGCATTGATTGAATTTTATTTTAAATTTTTACCAGCTTTAATTAAAGACTCTCTTATCTCTCTTTAAAGCTGTGATAGAATTAGAAACTGCCACCATTTGTTGTTAAAGTAGATTCAGGTCTCTGCCTCTACATAGCTAAGTATCTATTTAGAAACTAAGGATCTCATAAATCCTCTATTTAGTCCTTTCTCTTGTAGATGAAGAAAGCGATGGCTTTTGTGGATGAAGGGATTGTATAAGAAGAATTTTGTTATTTTAAGGCTGTAGTGAACCATGAAGTTAGATGCTTTCATTACATGCAAGAGTTTTTTTGTGAGCCACTTCCTTTACTTGAGTCTTGTCTCATTTGTGGTCTTGTTTTCTGTTAAAACTTGGTTAACTTGACTTTCCTTCCACTTTCTTCCTTCCCCTTCTCTGTGTGTCTCTCATGCGTTTTCTTCTATATCATACATTTATGTCTCCGTCTTTTCTGGTTCTTCTCACTGAAAATAGAAATTGATAGCTGGCATTACTATTGTAAAGAAGAATACTTGTACAGTATATCTCAGTGGGTATTGGAGAATTTGAATGACTTATGTTAACACATTCATTGTTTATTCAGTTTCAAGGTTGCCTTGTATGATGATTGCAAACACTAGGTATATTTTATATCAGAACATTTTCTATTTTTGAAGTAGTTTAGAAAATATCTTATTGTCATTTAGCTCATTATCAGAATTTCATTTAGTTTCATTTATCAGAATTTTGTATTTCTCCTAGATTGGTCAACACCTGCTCTTTTTTGAAAATATCAGCTAAGATAAAATAATTAAATATTTGTATTAAAATTTGCTTCTAAATGTTGGGACTTGATTTTACTGCATTTCTTTGAATTCAAGATATTATCAATTGTTGGGCACACTGTTATTTTATGTACCACTGAGAAAAAATTAGTGCAGTATGCTGTTGCTATTGAGAATTTTTACTTTATGCTTATCGAATGAGCTCTTACAGACTTAGATATGGATTTTTTATTATATGACACCCTTGTGCTTACATAAAAAGGAAAAATATGAGCAAAACAAACTGGTTTAGGTCTTTCTAAAATTTCTTCATATCCAAAATATGAATCTTTTAAATCACTTTCAGAGTCATTAATCAGTTTTGTTTTTTGTTTTTTCCCCACACTGTATGGCCCTCTGTCATCAGTGTGTTGGTGATGCAGCATTTCTTCAAACAAACTGTAAAAGGACTAAAAGCTGCTGGTACTGGGCTCTTAAGCTGGGTTTGCAAATAACTAGAGCTTTTGCTACTGCTTTGGGAATGTTGTTGAACTTGGTAAATTCACTACCTCCTTATAATAATTTGATCCCTGGAGGTTAAAAGGATAATTTACAAATGTCATCAAATTTTCTTCCAAGCCAGTCTGCAAGTTTTGAGGTTTCTTGCTTGTGTTAATAATGACATTCATGTCACAGTTTCTCTCTCCAATAGCAGTTGAAAGTTGCCATTGATTATAAGATACACTCCTATTTCAAAGTTCTTAAAATGTGAGAGAAAAAAGTACCATAACACTTTTTGTAACTGTGTTTCACATAATTTACATGAAAGCAGTAGGATTTTAGTGTGTTTTAACCTGGGTGTATGAGCACTGTGGGCTCCGTATTTAGAATAGTTTTATATAAATGTGAAAGCTAATTTAGAAAATCAATAGATACCCTTATTATTTTGGAATGCCAACTACTTTCAAAATAATAATTATCTAAGAACTTTGTGTTTGCTAGCCTTATTAGAAAGGACAAACATTGCAGCTGCAGTTTTCCCTCAGTTCTAGATGTATAGTCATTGTAGAAGAAGGTTTGCCAAGAAGAATAGAGTTGGGTGAAGCTGTAGCTTGTTTAAATTGTGATTATTTCTACCCATCTTGCAACTACATCTTATTCAGAAGCATTACAGAAGTCAGACCCCAGATCCCATATCCTCAGTTCTAGAATCTGAATATTGCCTAACCATTCCATATGTGAGTAAAAGCCCCGAGTAGCTTTTTACTGTAGCATTTCTAATCTCTTGCTATATTGAATTGTGTATAAATGCTGTTAATTTTCAGTAATATCTTACTGATTGTTCTCTCTGAATTTTGGCCAAAATATAGTTACTACTATAAGTGGGCCTTCTGTAAGGTAATGGCAGTAGCATGTCCAAAGCAGCACAGACAAGCAAAGCTGCTCTAGAAACCTCATTGCTGGAGAACCCTGGTGCAGAGATCTGACTGAGGATGGACTTTTCCTGACCTGCACTCTTGCCATATCTTGAAAGTGAATAGCTCCCAGGGCCAGAAGAATGCTTTTTCTTGTTATAGCTGTGCCATGAGTTTCATAGGCACAGACACAGGCCTGATGTAATATGTTTCTTGGGGGAACTGTTGTCTTACTCTTTTGAAGTCTTTTTTTTTTTTTGCCAAATCTCGTTAATTCAGAACATCACCATGTGTGCCAAATTACTTTGTATTAATGCTCTTCATCTTTTAACTCATTTACATCAGCATGCAATAAATAGCATTAACAAAACGAAATCTTTTACTCTTCAGTCTGCCATGCTTAATTCTCATCTTTACAGCCTCTTACTGTGATCTCTATCTTCTTACAGGTCATTGAGCCAAGGCAGCACAAATTCAAACATGCTGGATGTTCAGGGAGGTGCTCACAAAAAAAGGGCACGCCGCAGCTCTCTGCTTAATGCCAAGAAGTTATATGAGGATGCCCAAATGGCAAGGAAAGTAAAGCAGTATCTTTCCAGTTTGGATGTAGAGACAGATGAGGAGAAGTTTCAGATGATGTCACTGCAGTGGGAGCCTGCATATGGTACCTGTGAGTATAGGTTTTCATTTATATGACAATAAGGAACTCAACAAAATAGAAACTTATTTCCCTAGTATTAGGCTGAAGTTCCAAAAAATTTTTAAACACAAAAGATAACCCTAAGCGTCAGGTGATCCAATTAATCAGCTATTGAGTCCCATCCATTCCTGATGGCTTAGAAGTATAAGTTATTTTAAAAGTTTTATAAAGTTGTCTTGTAAAAATTGAATCATTATAGAGGGCCTATCTGTTTTAGAACATTTTTACTTTCATCCCTAAATGAAGGAAGAGTAAACATAAGTGTATTTTTTACCTTTATTTCATGGATACTACCATTTACCAACTAGAAAATAAAAGAAATTTGATTAAAATACTAGAATAATAGATACATTACAGGTGTCAATAGTGAAGTGAAACAAGAACAAACCAGACACATTCTGATATTGTTAGTCTCTAGAATATAGAATGAATAAAAAGGAATCCTGTTCTCAGTACTTTGTTTTAAAATTAATTACAAACAACAGAATGCATATGTCTCTGGATCAAGGAAATCGTTAAGAGCAGAAATCAGAGAAGGTGAAATATATTGTTGTAACAAAAAAAAAAAGATTGAACTTCTTATGCTAAATTATAGGTTAAGGCTGAGCACAGTGGTTTATGCCTGTAATCACTGTACTTTTGGAGGCCAAGGCCTGAGATTCGCTTGAGGCTAGGAGTTTGAGACCAACCTGGGCAATGTGGCAAGACCACATCTCTACAAAACAATTAAATTAGCTTAGCATGGTAGTACATGCCTGTAATCCTAGCGACTCAGGAGGCTGAGGTGAGAAGGATCACTAGCCAAGGAGCTCCAGGCTGCAGTGAGCTATGATCATGCCACCGAACTCCAACCTGGGTGACAGAGGAAGAGCCTGTCTGTTAAAAAAAGAAAAAAAATTATAGGTTGAATGTTATGCTCATAAAAATTACAGTAGAATTCTATTTCTAAGTTCTTAACTGATGAGGAGAAGCAGTAGTCATCATAGATTGACCCTAAATTTACATGATATGGTATTTACATAGTAATAGAAAAAGTATGCCAAACGAATGAGAGTAGAAAAGAGAGAGTGGAAATAGACCTGAATATTGAATTTTTTAAAAGATTCAGCTATGGCAATGAATTTTAAAATACAGGATAAGGAGCCATTTAATAAATGTTATTATTGAAACAGTGTCTTGAATGGTTCTACCTAAAAGTGTTAGCATGTGATGGAAAGAATAACTACTAGAAGGTGTAAGCAGAGTCTGAGTCTCACTTATTATCATTTAAGAAAGGTTTTCTTTATCCTTGTTCTGTTTTCTCAAAAATAAAACTTGAGCAAGCATTTTATCTGTGAGTCTTTCTACATCCAGCCTATTAAATTTGGAGAAATAAATAACAGCTAACACTTTTGGAGAGCTACATGCCAGCTGGCACATGTGAAAGGTGGAGGCTAGAAAGACTGTAAAACCTTTAATATTTATTCATGTTTTAAAGTTCAAAACCATATACAAATTAAAGTCATTGGACCCTGCTTTGAGTTATCATCCAAGTTATTTTTCTACCTCAATATAGACTTAATCATCTTGTGGTTATTAAACATGGTTTCATGCCTGCATGCCTTCCTCTTCCTATACCCACCACAGACTTGTCTCAGTCTTTTCTCATTAATCTAAACAGTGTTCTGTGCTACATATTTAATATTGATTTGGAATGAGAAAACCTGTAGTGTTTTCTTTCTTAAACTAGATTTGAATTTTTTGTTTGTTTTTTTGTTGAAGTCTCACTTCTTCCACCTTAGCCTTCCAAGTAGCTGGAACCACAGGCACACCCCACCATGCTCAGCTAATTTTATTTATTATAGAGGCATGGTCTTGCCAAGTTGCCCAGGCTGGTCTTGAACCCCTGGACTCAAGTAATCCTCTTGCCTCTGCCTCCCAAAGTACTGGAATTACAAGCATGAGCCACTACACCTGGCATGATTCTTTTTTTTTTTTTTTTTAAGAGACAAGGAATTGTTCTGTTACTCAGGCTGCTTTGATGGTGTGTTCTTATTTCACTGCAGCCTCGAACTTTTGGGTTCAAGCAATACTCCCACCTCAGTCTCCTGAGTAGCTAGGATTATAGGCACACACCACCATGCCCAGCTAATTTTTTTTATTTTTTGTAGAGACAGAGTCTCGCTTTGTTCCTGGACTCAAAAGGTCCTCCCACCTTGGCCTCCAAAAGTGCTGGGATTGCAGGCATTAGCTATTGTGCTCAGCTTGAAAAATTTAATTCATTGCCTATTCTTTTAATTTGGGTTGAGAGTCTTATTATATTGGATTTTTTTAAATTTATTTTTATTATAAAAATGGGGTACAATTCAGGGTTAGGTATACAAACGTTGATTATGCAGGTATCTTGTTGATGAGGTATATAATTTAAATGTTTAAATAGTTACTATCCCAAGCCAAAACAATAGTTGATTTCTGAGCATCAAGAAATTTGGTTCTTTCTCATTAATCAGTATATATGTGTGTTTTGGCATACATCTGTGAACTCTTATATTTAAATAGTCTTTGGGGTTTTTTTTTTGTATTGTAGCCATTATTAAAATAATATATATTAATATAATTTAATATTATTATTTTGATAATGAAGTTGGGAATTGATTAGTATTGAGAGAAGGATGAAAGTGTGTTCATGGCTATAACCAAAAGATGCTAACTTTTGATTCAATTAGTTGATAATCCACTGCATATCGTCCCCAGGGGTTCCTGTGTTTTGACGTTCTGCGATATTCTGTTATTCTTATCACCCATAATATTCTCTATGCTCTCATAATAAAAGCATAATAGCTAACTATTACAGCTATGCCATGACAAATTAAACATCTATTTTGCTTTTTATCTTGGTGTTTAAAACAAGTACATCATGAAGTACTAAGGCTACACTTGCATTGAAAACACCCTGAATAACTTACCTATGGATTAAAAGTACTGCCAGAAGGGAGAATTTCTTTTCTTTGGACTGCATTATTGATTTTTTTTATGAAGGAGGCAGCTTTTGAGTTGGAGTCTCACTCTGTCATCTAAGCTGGAGTGCATTGGCACACTCACGGCCTCCGCAACCTCCACTTGCTGGACTCAGCCAGTCCTTCCACCTCAGCCTTCCAAGTAGCTGGAACTACAGGTGTGTACCACCACGCCTGGCTAATTTTTTTTTTTTTTTACTTGTAGAGATGAGTTCTCACCAAGTTGCCCACGCTGGTCTCGAACCCCTGAGCTCAGGCAGTCCTCTTGCCCCCACCTCCCAAAGTGCTGGGATTATAGGCATGAGCCACTGTGCCCAGCTGGTTCTCAGTTTTTAATTCTGACATTCATTTTCAAATATTCTAAGCATGGATTTATATAACACTGTCTGGTATTCCTGTATATATCTGTTGAAATAGTTTAGCTTATTCATTCAACAAATATCTATTAAGAATCTGTTTTGAATCAGTCAGTGGCATATAGGAATATAGTAGTGAACAAAATACATTGTCCTTACTCTCAAGTTAATTACAGTCTAATGGGAGGAACGGACGTTAATTGGTTAATCACACAGACACAGGTCATTGTGTAGTTATAAAACTATTATCGGTGCTATGGAGGAAAAGTACAGGATGCCATGAGAACATAAAACATTCTAATGTAGTCAGTGCAGAATATGAAATAGTAGGGAAGAGTTGAGAAAGTTGATGTGAAAGATATAGAAAGTGGAGGGGAACTTCTGGCTTAGGGACTTGAATAAAGACTGATTTAATAGAAACCTGGAGGGTGTAAGATTGGTAAGAGGAGAGGTAGGTGGTTCAAGGGGGCAGGCTGATGGTAAATCACGCAGGGTCTTTTAAGCCTTGTTTTAGGGATTTAGTCTTTATCTTGAGAGCAGAAGCAAGTCATCTGAAGGTTTGTGTAGGAGGAAAAGAAAAGTGCAATGATCAGATGTTCATTTTGAAAGTCACTCTGCTATTATATGGAGAATGTTTTGAAGGCATGCTGGAATTGTTGCAGTGAAAGAAGTATTTCAGTAGTATAGATAAGAGAATGTTAACTTGACCCTTCAGAATGAAGGTGAAGATAAAACTAATTAAATTAATGAATTCAAGATTTATTTAGGAAATAACCAATTTATTCTACCACAATTTTAGAGATAACTTTTTTTAAAATCTGATCCACCAAGACATAGAGATAACATTTTTTTCTTTCTTTCTTTTTTGAGACAGGGCTTTACTCTGTCATCCAGGCTGGAGTGTAGTGGCACAATCGTTGCTCACAACAGCCTTAAACTCACTGGGCTCAAGTTTTCCTCCTGCCTTAGCCTCCAAAGTATCCGGGACTACAGGTGCACACCACCACGCCCAGCTAATTCTTCTATTTTGGTGATGGTGGTGGTGGTGGTTGTTGTTGTTGTTGAGATGGGATCTCACTGTATGGCCCATGCTGGTCTCAAACTCCTGACCTCAAGTGATCCTCCTGCTTCAGCCTACCAAAGTGCTGGGATTAAAGGTGTGAGCCTCTGCACCCAGCTAAGATAACATTTTAGAGTACTCAAATGAAATTTCTGTTAAGAAAATTAACCTACTTTATTTTTTGTGCTAAAAATAGGTGGTTTTATAACAGCTGTTTGTCGTCAGTGAAATAACCTTGCCTAAAGTGAGGCGTTACCTATTTCTTACTCTCTCCTACTAGTGACCAAGAATTTAAGTGAGAAAAGATCAGCCAAATCATCTGAAATGTCTCCAGTACCTATGAGGTCAGCTGGCCAAACAACTAAAGTCCACTTGCATCAGCCCCACAGAGTAAGCCAGGTGCTTCAGGTGCCAGCTGTTAATTTGCACCCCATCAAGAAGAAGGGACAAGCAAAAGACCCTGCACTGAGTGAGTATTCACAATTAATATTACATTCATTTATTTGAAATTTCCAGAGGAGTTAGAATGAAACATAATTACATATCCTCAGGAGATCAACTATTATAGGTTTTATAATATAACATCACTTCAGGAATCAAAAAATGTTTCATTTTGCCTATAGGTGTTTGATGACAGCATACATGTTTTAAATGCTGATATTAGAATTCCATTAATGCTGAAATCTGTTGATCAACAGAAAACTTACAGCAGTACCTCTTGGGTACCAAGGGCTTACTACATTCAAAGGTGTATTTAATCAAATATGTAATGCAGATGCAGCCAGAAAACTGAAAATGAAGTGGTTTCTTCCAAAAATGAGTATATGTTGTTTATTTTGTTTTTTTTTAATTCTGAAAACCTAGTTAGGAAACAAGAAGAGAGTGTAACACGTATATAATGTACAGACCACACATTTTTTTTCCTGTTAGGCCATGTCAGTATTATCCATATTGCTTCATTTGTTTGAACAGTTTACTATTTTAGCTTTTAGATGGAAAAGTAGAATTAGATTTGGTTACTAGAGTTATTACTTAGACCATGCATTTTATACATAGTACATATTTAATAGAACTTTGTGAATTTAATTTGATTTTGCTTGCGATACAAAGTTGAATAAATTCCCACTTCTTTTTTCTTTTTTTTTTTGAGTTGGAGTCTCACTCTGTCGCCCAGACTGGAGTGCAGTGGCCGCTCCCGGCCACCGCAGCCTTGACCTGCTGGGCTCCGGTGAT